GCCTTCGGTGGAGCTCCCTATGTGAGGGGTGTGCCGAAATGGGTGCGGCGCCGCCATGCCAACGCAGCCACTGGGGCCTTCGGTGGAGCTCCCTATGGGGCCACGAAACGTGTGAGGGGTGTGCCGAAATGGGTGCGGGGCCGCCATGCCAACGCAGCCACTGGGGCCTTCGGTGGAGCTCCCTCTGGGGTCACGAAACGTGTGAGGGGTGTGCCGAAATGGGTGCGGCGCCGCCATGCCAACGCAACCACTGGAGCCTTCGGTGGAGCTCCCTATGGGGCCACGAAGCGTGTGAGGGGTGTGCTGAAATGGGCGCGGCGCCGCCATGCGAACGCAACCACTGGGGCCTTCGGTGGAGCTCCCTTTGGGGCCACGAAACGCGTGAAGGGTGTGCCGAAATGGGTGCGGCGCCGCCATGCCAACGCAACCACTGGGGCCTTCGGTGGAGCTCCCTATGGGGCCACGAAGCGTGTGAGGGGTGTGCCGAAATGGGTGCGGCGCCCCCATGCCTACGCAGCCACTGGGGCCTTCGGTGGAGCCCCCTGTGGGGCCACGAAACGTGTGAGGGGTGTGCCGAAAGGGGTGCGGCGCTGCCATGCCAACGCAGCCACTGGGGCCTTCGGTGGAGCTCCCCATGTGGCCACGAAACGTGTGAGGGGTGTGCTGAAATGGGTGCGGCGCCGCCATGCCAACGCAGCCACTGGGGCCTTCGGTGGAGCTCCCTATGGGGTCACGAAGCGTGTGAGGGGTGTGCCGAAATGGGTGCGGCGCCGCCATGCCAACGCAGCCACTGGGGCCTTCGGTGGAGCTCCCTATGGGGCCACGAGCGTGTGAGGGGTGTAATGGGTGCGGCGCCGCCATGCCAACGCAGCCACTGGGGCCTTCGGTGGAGCTCCCTATGGGGCCACGAAGCGTGTGAGGGGTGTGACGAAATGGGTGCGGCGCCGCCATGCCAACGCAGCCACTGGGGCCTTCGGTGGAGCCCCCTTTATGGGGCCACGAAACGTGTGAGGGGTCTGCCGCAATGGGTGGGGGCCGCCATGCCAACGCAGCCACTGGGGCCTTCGGTGGAGCTCCCTATGGGGCCATGAAACGTGTGAGGGGTGTGCCGAAATGGGTGCGGCGCCGCCATGCCAACGCAGCCACTGGGGCCGTCGGTGGAACTCCCTATGCGGCCACGAAGCGTGTACGGGGAGTGCCGAAATGGGTGCGGCGCCGCCATGCCAACGCAGCCACTTGGGCTTTCGGTGGAGCTCCCTATGGGACCACGAAACGTGTGAGGGGTGTGTCAAGTTGGGCGCGGCGCCGCCATGCCAACGCAGCCACTGGGGCCTTCGGTGGAGCTCCCCATGGGGCCACGAAGCGTGTGAGGGGTGTGCCAAATTGGGCGCGGCGCCGCCATGCCAACGCAGCCACTGGGGCCGTCGGTGGAGCTCCCTCTGGGGCCACGAAACGTGTAAGGGGTGTGACGAAATGGGTTCGGCGCCGCCATGCCAACGCAGTCACTGAGGCCTTCGGTGGAGCTCCCTATGGGGCCACGAAGCGTGTGAGGGGTGTGCCGAAATGGGTGCGGTGCCGCCATGCCAACGCAACCACTGGGGCCTTCGGTGGAGCTCCCTGTGGGGCCACGAAACGTGTGAGGGGTGTGCCGTGATAGTGGGGGGAGGGAGGAAGGAGGGGGGAGGAGGCGGAGGAGGAGGGAGGAACGAGAGGAGACGCGGGGAACCGTCTCTTCAAAACGAGGACCCAACACCACAGGATGGTTGGGAAATATCCAGGCGAAGGGTCCAACAATATGCACTTGTGGGTACCGCAATTGTGCATATTTCCTTCGGTGAAGCTCCCTATGAGACCACCAAACGCTGTACTGGGTGGGGGGAAGCGCATGCGGGCGGTAGCGCTGGGGGCTTCGGTGGAGCTCCCGATGGGGCCACCAAGCGCTCTACTGGGCTGGTGAAACTGCCAAATTGCGCGTGTGGGACGCACGCGGACGGTCCCACTGGGGGCTTCGGTGGAGCTCCCGATGGGGCCACGAAGCGCTGTACTGGGTTGGTGGATATGCAAAATTGCGCGTGCGGGGCGCATGCGGACGGTCCCACTGGGGGATTCGGTGGAGCTTCCTATGGGGCCACGGTCACCAAGCGCTGTACTGGGTGGGCGAAACTGCCAAATTGCGTGTGTGGGACGCACGCGGGCGGTCCCACTAGGGGCTTCGGTGGAGCTCCCTATTGGGGCCACGAAGAGGTATACTGGGTGGGTGAAAAAAAGCCAAATTGCGCGTGCGGGACGCATGCGGACGGTCTCACTGGGGGCTTCGGTGGAGCTCCGTATGGGGCCACGAACGCTGCACTGGGCAGGTGGAAATGCCCAATTGGGTGTGCGGGACGCGCGCGGACGGCCCCAGTGGCCACGACACGCTCTACTGGGTGTGGCGGACGCATGTGGCCACCCCTATGGGCCCTTAGGTGGAATCCCCTATCGGGCCACGAAGCGCTGTACTGGGTGTGGCGGACGCATGTGGCCACCCCCACTGGGGTCGTCGGTGGAGCTCCCTATGGGGCCACAGAGCGCCGTACTAGACTCCACTGGGGCCTTCGGTGGAGCTCCTTATGGAGCCACGCAGCGCTGTACTAGGTGTGGCAGACGCATGTGGTACACCCCACTGGGGCCTTCGGCGGAGCTTCTTATGGGGCCACGAAGCGCCGTACTGGGTGTGGCGGACGCATGTGGTACACCCCACTGGGGCCTTCGGCGGAGCTCCCGATGGGGCCACGAAGCGCCGTAGTGGGCGTGGTAGTGGGTGTGGCGGAAGCATGTGGTACACCCCACTGGGGCCTTCGGTGGAGCTTCCTATCGGGCCACGAAGCGCCGTACTGGGTGTGGCGGACGCAGGTGGTACACCCCAGTGGGGGGGGGGGGCACGGGAGGAGGAGGAGACGCGGGAACCGTTCCTTTAAAACGAATGCCCAATACCACAGGATGGTTGGAAAATCACTTCGCGGGCCGTTAGCGCCACCGCAAAAGCGGGGGGGCGGGGCAAGCAGACGGAGGGCGGACACTCCCGGGTTGTCCTGAATCCCGGGGGGGGGGGGGGGGCGCGGGCTAACAACTCAGGGCGGGGAGGCGGGGCGTCAATTCAGAGCTGGGCAAACAATAGCTGGGAAAGACTTCGCGGGCTGACGATTCAAATCCGCAGGGCGGAAAATTCGAGGCCGCGAGGGTTGATTTTGGCCAGCCCCGAATGGGAAGTAGAAAATTATGCTTCGCCACTCCTGCGCGGAAGGCACACATTTCGCGCCTTCCTATTATCCTCTCGCTCCTCCTCCTCCTCCTCCTCCTCCTCCTTCCCCTCGCTTTTCTATCCCTTGTCACCTTCTCCCTGCTAGTTCTTGTTCCTCTACAGTAATTCAATATGAATATTATTCCCTGTTCTCCCCTGATGTACGCCGGAAAATTCCCTGCACCCCTCCGCGTATGGTGTCTCTAGTTACACACAGGTTTGGCGCGAATCCGTTTCTCACTATTGCTTTTCAATCGGAACGTGTTCGGTTCTTCCAAACTGCTGTTCCCGCTGTAGCGCTGGACTCATTTTCGAGCTTCCGCTCGGTTCGAATCCTCCCGCGTGCTGTGTTTATACGCAGAGGATTGGGGGAATGTCTTGTTCATGAATTGTGTTCAATCCGAACTTGCTCGGTTCTTCAACACGCTGCTCCCGCGGCAACGTTGGCCTCGTTTTCAAGATCCAACCGCCGTCCGCGAGGACGTCAGTTGGGCCGTCCTCAGGTTGGTTCTTACGCCGGGGATGAAAACAACTTCATGAACATAAGCTTTTGGCGGTCCTCCGTGGATTTCCTGGATCTGCGCTGGGTCTCCCTAGCTGCGCTTCCGGCGCCCCCTCTCCGCAATCCTCCTCTCGCGGCCGCGGGTGATCAAACGAACGCAGGAGGACGCATAGAAAATCAATTTCCGCGAGGCGGCAAAATAAAACGCCGGGGGGGCAGACGATGAAAAACAGCTCCCAGCGGCTGAATTCTATTAGTCTGCCCCACTCATGCATTCTGGGGCCCCCGGGACGGGGGGGAGCATTTTTTTATCGTCTGCCACCCTTACACATATGGCTTGTTCAATCATTGCTGCCCTCGCGGCTGGGCAACCGTGTCGGGCGTCCAATTCCGACTTGCGCGGGCCGCGGGGTGGAGGGCCTGGCAATGCCCGTCCAGTCACCCCTGGCCGAGCTGACGAGACCCGCACGGGAACCTTTCAGGCCAGGGGGTGGCAGCGTGGAGGCCGCAGAGGGCCCCTCTTGAGGGCCACTTTCCTGCAAGCCTCGACCCCCCCCTCCCAGCGTTGATGGCCCACACCTCCCCTCTTCGGTGGCAACTCATGGGGGCCTCCCGTGCCTTCTCCCTGGCTCTTTTGCGAATCATCGCTGACCGAGGCGAACCGACGTCGATCGACTCCCACCGACGCTCATCGACGCCAAAACGACGCCACATCGGCGCTGTCCCACCAATAACTATCACACACTGGCGCACGCTGAAGCACTCTGAAAACGGAATTGGAAAACCATACAAATCATGGGACCTAAGTCAGGAGGGCCAAAGCCATAATGGACATGGAGTCTTCTCTGCAAATGCATCAAACGAAGCCACCCATAATTCCGGAATGTCCGTAACAATCGCGGAACTCGATTAGGCCACGAATCCATTGTTTCATTAGGGTCAGGGGTTGGATGATGCTTACCCGTCGGTCGTAAGAAGCAGGTAGAACCACGAAGCAGGCAGGCGTTGGAAGTAGATTGCTGTTCCGCCCACACCCTGAAGAGGAGGCAAGAGGGAAGACCACACCACTCTTGACGTAGGAAGGCGCCGAAACAAGCCTTGGGACTTGGGCACTCGAAGGATACCGCCTTCCGACGACCGACAGGTGATGACACACAGCTCCCACGACTCGCTACCGAACCCTCCGCTGGCGTCCGCCCCGGCCCGCGGCGGAGATGC